TAAATAAATAAATAAATAAATAAATAAATAAATAAATAAATAAATAAATAAATAAATAAATAAATAAATAAATAAATAAATAAATAAATAAATAATCAAAAAATCAAAAGAGATTTGCCGATAGTGGATCATCTAGTTCTATCTATATTGTAAGCGTTTGGGCAGTTAATGGTGTACGAAGCACTCAATTGGTGTACACTAAGCACGAAATTAACTAGACCTTAGACTATAGACTATTTACTAGCAAGCAACTGTAATATCCGAGAGTACGTGTATAGGTAAGTTCGGCGAGTGTCTCGCTAGATAAGAGCCAATTATTAGTTACCCTCATCTTCACTCTCCGTCTCTTCGTCTTCCTGGGTGACATAAGGTACGAAACGAAAGTCGAGAAAGCTGACGGCACCACCTTCAACTTCGACCATAAACTGCAAGCTGAGGACGCCTTGGCCATCCCCGCGGAAACTGACCTTATTCGCTATGCGCATAGCCTCGCTTGCCGACTTGATAAAGTCGAATTTGAAACTTTGGACCCAACGGTCGTGCACGGAAAATGTCTCGAGGAGGTCCCGACCGCTGGAGAAGTCCACACTGGCGCTGCCGAGAGCTCCGCCGCTTGATAGGCTCAGATAGGGGGCATTTGGCGAGGCGGCAATGGTAACGCGAACCGGAGCCATCGGCGCTAACTCAGAAAGAGCGTCGAGCAGCCAGCGAGCTTGCATGATAACTTTAAAAGATAAGTCATCTCGGTCAAAAGGGATATCGTTATGTGATTCAGGGGTATAGGTGATCATATTGCACCGAGTCTTCACCCCGGTCTCCTCCAAGACGATGCTCAGCGGAGACCCATCTTCTTCGTACATGATGCAACATGTCCCAGGCATTCCTAGAGTCTGATGGCTGAAGGCGTCCGGTCGGTAGTTACGCAGGTTACTACGATAAGCTTCCGAATCCGCCTTGGCCGCTCGGGCTGCTACGTCCATAGCCCCAAATATCTGCAAGGCCTCTAAAAAAGCAGCCAAGTTCATCTGAAATTTTGGTGGATTGTCTTCATCTGGCGCGTTTAATGTATAAGATGTGAAAAGAGCCTTGTCTAGGAACGCTACGCCTAATGACACTGTTAGATCACTTTTGATTCATGCAACGTCGGCCGCTTACCTTGCATCACACGCGAATGGTCTGCAGCAAATCGAATTCCGTCTGGCGTTATTTCCACCTGTACCTTGACCGTAAAGCTGATACATTTTAGTAGTTGATATATCTGCCTCGTAGAGCTGGCTACTGCTCGGAACAGCGGCAGCTGCGGAGGGACAGATCCAGCGGATGAGGCCATGTTGCAAGATATGCTTTCCCTTCGGCTCGAGGCCCTTTAAATATAGTCCCGCAGTATAAGAACAACTTCTCTGGCAGCAATAGTTGCCGATCACGTTTATATAATGTGTTTTGCAATCGAAAGGATAGGTTCGTAAACGTCAATTCACCTATGGTACAGACCAGCGCTCTTCTGGGCCTGCGGCGTCTTCCTTGGGGTATCTTCTAGACGTAAACTCCAACCGCACAGAACATATACACCGTACCAAATCTTTAAAAGTGTTAGGAAGCTGGGGAGCTATATAGGGACGCGGGTTATAGAAGAGGACGTACGCAACGGCTAACGAGGCCGGGACTCCGTACAGAGGAAGGCTGGCGAGAGACCGGTCTAGAGCAACGAATTATTAATTACTCGTAAAGGTTAATTGATAATTGCAGTAGAAATTGAAGGACTCACTCAATGCAAACGCGCCAGTCAGAGAAAGACCGATGAGGAGGAGAACAAATCCGACTAGAAATTGACTACCCTTTCCAACTGTAGGAAGAAATGGACTGCCAGGTGCAGTTTGCCAGATCTCATACAGTGAAGAATCCATGAAGGGTGATGATAAGTTTCTGTAAGAATTCTCTAAGAATTCTCTTACGAAAGGGAGGTTGCGGATTGAACTGATTGGTGATATTCTTGGATATAGTACTAAAATGTTGTAAAGAGAAAAAAAGAAAACCGAAAGAGGACTTGAACTGTTTCACGGCGTCATACCTAGGTAAGTACCTACCTAGCAAAGCTCTAGGTGGCCTATCTCTTTTTACGGCTTAGTGTAAGCCCACAATGCTTGCTTACCTCACCTCATGCCCAATCTTTTCCCCCATGTCCTTATTTTAGTGCCGGTTCCACACTTGTCATTCCACTTCTGCTCCTTGCATCGTCCAACACGCCTCCGCGTCAGATTGCCGAACAACTTCCCCATAAGCTTATCAACCACAACTGACGACGTGCGACTTGAGCGCATCGTATACTTACATTTCCGATCTTATCACATCTTTTTTTTTTCTCTTTTTTTTTGCTGTTACCTCTGCTACTATGGTGAAGGAAGAAAGTACGTTTTCTACAGCCCGAAAATCAATAAATTGTTATTAACTTGTCTCTTTCGCGACAGATGCCAAGCGCAAGGCTAGTGACGAGCCGACGTCACCAATCGCAGCCAAAAGGGCAAAATATGATGACTCGACCGAACCGGAGAAGAAAGCTGTCATCAAACCGATTCCATTTCCAGAGAAGGTATATATTCATCTTATACTTGCCCCCGCGCCCCGTAACAACACGCATGGCCCTCGACAATATGCTAGGCCTCCGTAAGAGGCAAGCAATACTGAGATGGGCTTTCCTTGATCCCCCTTTTCGTTATCACCGTACTACTTTACCCAGTAACCTATAAACCTGTATAGAATTCCCAAATTACTAACATCATGACTTAGCCCGCCGTCATCGAAGAGCGAAATGGCGAGATCGAATTCCGCGTGGTGAACAACGACAATGAGCGCGAGTCCCTCATCATCCTCACCGGCCTGAAATGCATATTCCAAAAGCAACTGCCTAAGATGCCTAAGGACTACATAGCCCGACTTGTCTACGACCGAACCCATCTATCCATCGCTATCGTAAAAAAGCCCTTAGAAGTTGTCGGCGGGATCACATACCGACCCTTTAAGGGTCGCCAGTTCGCAGAAATCGTTTTTTGCGCTATCAGTAGCGACCAACAGGTTAAGGGTTACGGCGCCCATCTTATGTCACATCTGAAAGACTACGTCAAGGCGACCAGCGACGTAATGCACTTCCTCACTTACGCGGATAATTATGCTATAGGCTACTTTAAAAAGCAGGGCTTTACGAAGGAAATCACATTGCCGAGATCAGTGTGGATGGGTTATATCAAGGACTACGAAGGCGGTACAATTATGCAATGCTCTATGCTGCCGCGCGTTCGATACCTCGAGATGGGCCGCATGCTCCTCAAGCAGAAGGAATGCGTCCTAGCTAAGATCCGGGCATACTCCAAGTCGCACATCATCCACCAACCTCCCAAGCAATGGAAGAACGGCGTTACCCCCATCGACCCCCTGTCCATCGAAGCAATCCGAGCTTCGGGGTGGTCTCCCGACATGGATGAGCTGGCCCGACAGCCTCGCCACGGTCCGAACTACAACCAGCTCCTCCATCTGCTTAACGACCTTCAGAACCACCAGTCGGCGTGGCCGTTCCTAAACCCGGTCAACAAGGACGACGTTGCAGACTATTATGACGTGATCAAGGAGCCGATGGATCTTAGCACAATGGAAACCAAGCTAGAAGCCGACCAGTACACCACCCCAGAAGAATTCATAAAAGATGCCAAACTTATCTTCGACAACTGCCGCAAATACAACAACGAGTCGACGCCGTACGCCAAATCTGCCAACAAGCTTGAAAAGTTTATGTGGGCTCAGATAAAAGCCATCCCCGAGTGGTCGCACCTTGAACCATAGGTCAGTAAAACGGGAGGATCGCTCACGGATAATATACGGCGCGAGGATAGACGCGGGAGAGCGCAGGCTATCGCCCGCATCAAGGAGGAATCTGAAACAACTCCCGAGTTTGACGAATACGAAGAGATTACACCCGTCGCAAAGAGACAACAGCAAGCCGAAGAAGCCGGGCCGGCTAAGACAGTCGTGTGTACCAAAATGAATCAGCCCTTGGGTTACATCGGTACCTTTGAGGCTGGTGCTGTCATTAACAAATCCTCACAAGTGCTAGCCCAGCCAAAAATCACGATAGGAGAAGCAGATATGCTACAAGTTATCGGCCCCGGAGCAAGTGCTGGAGTATTTCATCAAGTCTTACGAGCTCCTCCAATTTCCCCTCAGGACACCCTCACCTGGCCGAAGACACCCGTCCGGCAGCACCTGGCTGGTAGACGTAGACGCGCCCCGAAAAACTCTCCCGGGTGTTAGTATATGGGGGTCAAGATAAGGGGTTAATTCGGGGTGGGCGTGTTCCTTTTTTTGGTTCCTTTTCAATTACCCCTCGACAAAAGCATCAGAGAAATTTCGCGATGCGGCAACGACGAGAAAATGAGAATGAAAAGAATATGGCATAACTTTGGTTGACGCATAAGAGGACAATCAGGGGGAGTTGTAGGATATTGTCTTTGCGGCGGGGTGATGAGTTTCGGACGGGACACGAAGATAAGGGGTGTTACTTGGGTTCATGCAGAATGCCGTTCTCGCATTACGATACGATACGTGAAGACGGGACTGGATGCTTGAGGATTGTAGCCTTTGTTAGCAAATGCTTTTGCTTTACGTTGCGTTGCTTCTTGGATGCGTGGTGTGCACGACATGCATGAGATGGAGCTCAAGTAATACCTTAGGTACTGTACCTACCTAACCCACCTACATCTACTTATCCTAATAGGAACCGATATAGCTATAGGTAGCTCAGATAGGTAGATAAGTAGCTTGCGATAGTCCTTGCGGTTGCAGTTATTTCGCTTGCGCTGACTTAGTACTACATACACCTCTTTAACGCTCCGCACATTCTAATCAAAGCAATACATCAATCAAAGCATTCATTTTCCTCAAAACTTAAGAGTGAAATCGGGAGATTTTTTTTTTTTTTTTTTTTTTTTTGGTTCTCTCTTCTTTAAAGCTATAAGGAAATAAATAGTTATCTGCCAGACAAAACTACTAGGCTACGTAAAGGTACTTTACTTGGTAGATGGAATGAAGAGGCATAACCCACGGCAAGCAAGCAAGCCCAGCTCCAGCTCCCAACTAAGATTTTAAAAAAAATGAAATAAAAGAATAAAAAATAAAAAGGGGCCAACCCAATCAAATCTACAAACAACATTGAAAGCTGTTCAAATGCAAAGCCGCAACTCCCCGCCGTATGAGCCACCACCACCACAACCACCATAACACCCCCTCCTTCTCCCTTATATGATAAAACTAATAAACCAAATACCTAACCTAACGCCCGCGTTATTTAGGAAGATTATTCTGCTCCTGCTATGTGCTCCTCCTTCTTTTCTTCCTCAAGGAAGATTGGTATTTGGCTTATATAGGGCACGTGTATGCTATGCCCTTGAAAGCGACATGATTGCTTAAGGCTTCGTGAAACCATGATGATGTTGTTGTTGTCGTTGCTGCTATGATATCTCTAGTTACAATTTATTTGGGATTTTCAGATATGTGTGTATTTGTATGGTATTCGAAAGTAAGCCGCAACAAGAACCATAGAACACTCAAGGCCTCCGCTCTATTTATCGGGGACATGTCCCGGGGGTTAGGCTGGTTATATTTAATCCGTAGGCCTCGGTAATTTTGTGGTTGGGGAGTTGACCAAGGTATGCTGCCCAGCTTATGTTGCCCGGCTTATTGTTGTGGCCCCATCGGTAAAGAGTCCTAGCTAGAGCGCCCACCTCCTCCGTCCATGAATCACTTCTTAGCCATGTGCAGAAGCCGTAAGTAATCCCAAAATCTCATCAATATGCGCTTGAAAAAAAAATCAAAAATCTTTGTTGCTTAGTATGCACTTAATTCCGTCGCCTTAAAAGCAGTGAACGACCATCTAGGCCGTTGATAGAGCATCGCACGGAACATCAAAATGATTAGTGCCTACCTGTAAAAGGCACCTCAAAAGTTGAAAGAATCTAGTTGAAGGGTATCGAATAATTTTGTGCTTCTTTCCACCGTCGCCACCTTGAATTCCGGTGCTGTCGCCCCCAGGAATAATATTTTAAGGAAGAGTGATGTAGGTCTGGGTCCCCGACTGAGCTGTTCGCTGCAGACGAACTTCTGGAGTGGCGGTACTGGTTTCGCTGGTCGGAAGCCGTAAATCTGAGAAATTTCGGCGCAAGGACCTCCTACCGCCGGTGATGCCGCGCTCAAAGGAAAGTGCCATAGAACGCTCGATCCGGGCCGAAGAGTTGTCTCGACCGGATGCCTCGTCGTCCAAGGCGTATCGGAGAATTGAATGGAGGAAGTCCGGGATCTCCTGCCAGCGGCCAGCTCGTGCCGCACTCAGCATACCCGCCGGGAAGAGTGCCTGCGGAATGAGAGCTATGTTGGAATCCCGTATGATCTGCTCTGTGAGGAAGGGAAATTCACCGGCCTCGATTGCATTTTTCAGCCACTGCTCCCAGTCCTCATCCAGGGGTAACGAGGTATCGCCGGCTTCATGACGCGCTGCTCTTTCGCGGAGTTGTTCATTCAGAGGCACTCCGACGCTTGTCAGCTCACCATCGCTCTCGTCGTCGTCGTCGTCGTCCTCATTATTATTTTCTTCTCCTTCTCCTTCTTCCTGCTCGCCATCCATGCATTCGTCTGATGTCGTTGTTGCCTGTGGTAAGGTTTCGGTTTGAGTCGCGCGTGCTGTTTGTGGCCTATCTTCTGGCTCGACCCACTTCGGAATGTCGTCAAACGCAGTATCGTGAATGGTGACTCCGGAATCACGTTCGAAACGTTCCTTAGCCCATTTTGTACCTTCCCACTTCGTGAGGTTGGCGATTTCGGAATCGGTCAGGCGCAGGGCGTCGAAAGCCCGAAATAGACGACGATGCCACTGCCAGCGGCCAAGTCGTATACGGTGGACACGATGCGTGTAATCTAAACCTGGGTACTTGGCTTCTTGAGTGTCGAGATGGCCATAGAAAGAATGAACTTCCTGGCGGACCTCAGGGATGAGGTTACGGTGAAGGAGAGTATGGAAGTTCTGGGGATCGCTGCTTCGGGGTTTCGGGAACATGAACTCGTAAACGAGTTGGTCGACCGGGCGTCCCTTCATGTTGGCGAGATCAAATTGAGATGTTGGCAAGAATGGAGGGAGATTCTGGACAAGTTAATCTGCTTTTTAGTTGCCAGATGGCTTTTGCCGAAAGCAAAGCGTCGAATAGAATGTGGTCGAACAGAATAGACCCAAAGTTTAAGAGCCGGGCCGTTTCAGCCGCCGAACTACCGTCAACTTCGACTCCGATGCTTAAAAGTATGTACTAGGAGTAAGTTTCGTTACAGAGGAATATTGTCGTTTTGATGTGTCTCTCAGGAAGATTTGTAGTAACGTGCGTAGAGAATGGAGAAGGTTAGGTAGGTAGGTAGTCGAGTTATTAGGCGAGTTAGATTAGATGTTGTGGGTAATGTGAGTTGGTGGTGGTGTGGTGTGTGGTGTGGAGAGACGAGGGAGCCCAAGGCGAGTCGAGTGGGAAGAACGAGAGGGGAGGGGGGATTCGTGTTCCAGAAATAGTGTCAACTCAACTCTAACGCCGCCAAGGGGGCCGCGAGCTGAGGGGAGGGAATGTAAATAATTGATTGCTAAGGGCTTCGATTTGTATAATATCAGACGTTAAACTCAAATGATAGAAGATGGTTCAAGAGTTTCAAAGTTGGGTTCGGGAGAGGGAAAAAAAAAGTGTTTAAGGTGGCTTGTCTGCCTGGTGGCTATCATTTCCGAGATACGATTCTGCGATTTGTTACGGGAGTAGGGATATTTGCATGTGTCGCAGGGTATTGCAGGTACTTTTTAGTTTTGTAGAAGATGGGTGTGTAAGCCGGTAGGTGCATTAGCGGTGCTATACATTAGGTACACCTCCGCCAGGATCTTACTTGTCTAGCGTCTCCGTTGCCCCATCTGCCCATACATATTCAGCAAGTAGTTACTAGGGGGTTTTATATGGGAAATTCCCTGGATTATACTTGCTAATCTAGAATCTTCAGTCTTGTGGCTTGTGCGAAGAAAGACATCTTGAATTTACAACGTATTTTTACATAGAAATTACCTTATAAGTTACTTGAAAGACCAAAGTATGGAACGGTGGAGACGCTAGACAAATAAGATCCTGGCGGAGGTGTATTGTACATAGCTGGCTTAGCTGGCTAGCTACCTACCTAACTATGTACCTAGCTAGGTACCTAAACCTAGCAGGATGCCAGATGGACGCTGGGGCTTGGAAGTAAATAGGAAGCCGAGTCCTAATTAGGATTTTCGAGCTAGTACCTCATCCAAACAAGGGTTATCAGTTATCCTAAAGTTCAGTCCCAAACTACATTGGCTGACTGGCGCACAGGTCAGACAGAGAAAATAAAAAAGAAGGAAGTGACCAATCATCTGCCAAGATGTACATGCGTCGTTGCAAGGGGCCGCTGAGATGTTTACAGGGATTCTCCATTGGACACAGGTGTTAGGTACCTTTTCATTGAGAGTACTTGGAGTCTGCCCACTATTTGTAGTGAATTATATCTATTATAATTGTACACGGTAGATATACACGTGTACAGCTACATATCATGCCTCTGAGACTCAGAGTCCGAGTCGGGCGGGTATAAGGTCCCTTATAAGCTACATCTTGTAGGTGTGTACGTAAGCAATTGACCTACTACAACACAACGCTCATTCAGCGCCTCGCCTCCCTGGCCTTTTCATAATCACATAAATCCTACAAACCTCAGGTGCTTCCTTCAATGTTCGGCCGAGTGAGTTCGGGGGAGAAGACTTTGAGCCGGCAAAACTCCCACTACCCATGATACATGTAGAGAAAAGCTGACATTAGCTAAGCAAGCACATCAAACAGACTATACCTAGTCCATGGATGTAATATAATGCAATGCATGCCTTAATTCCTTCGTACCGTACCGCCTAAGATGGACCAAGACCCGAAAGAACATTGCATTAAGTACTAGGTACCTTAGGTTAGGTAGGCTGGTAGGTAAGCACATTAAAATACATTAGATTGCTTTATGTACATAAAGGTACCCAACATATTTGCATATATGTTAGCCTTTAGGTACAACGATCTCCTACCCGATGTGACGGACCCTGAATTTTCGTTCCCCGCGCCCGCGCCCGTTCTCTCCGATCCACACCTAACCCCTCCGTCTATATCCATGCGTCCGAAATAACCTGTTTAAGCTCTTACATTAATAAAATCACTTTTCCATTGCTATTAGTAAGTCCGTACGCTTGACGGTCCTTATTTTCGCTAAATCTCAATGTTTTTTATTTCTTTTTTTTTTATTTCTTTAAGACCTAAATATAAGTTTAACACTAATATGCAGTAACGCATTACTAAGTAATTAATGTTACGAACCAATAGCACGGGAACCATATTTTGTATGGAAGCGGGGATCCTGAAACGTACGATCAGAAAAATGGGTAAACTTTGGATAACTTATTAGAGGGTAATGATCTTAATGATTTTAATAATCTTATAAGATTATTAAGATTATTAAAATTATAATGGCTTTTAAGTAAAAATAGGGAAAGTTTATAAATATATTTAAATTATTATATATTTAATTTATATAAGGAAAAAAACTTTAAACTTTTTTAATAAATACTTTTAACGTTTTATTAATATTTAATTTATATTATTATTATTTACTTAAAATTAAACCTTTAATTATTACACTTTAACAAATTTAAATATAAATTCGTTATATTTTAATAACTTTTTAATTAATATTATTATTAATTAAATATAATATAAATACTAACTTTAATAATAATATTTTTTTATTTATATAAATTAATTATAATTTATTTATTTTAAAATATTTATTAAATAAATCTTTTAAAACTTAACTTTTAATAAAAATTAATTAAATAAAATAATATAATAAATTTAATATATTAAAATTAATTAATAATATAATTTTAATAAAAATCAGATCTTAAGTAAAATTATTTAAAGAAAAGGTAAAGGAAACCACCGAAATTATTAATAAGGAAAAAAAGAAAACCTAAATTAAAAAAAATTAAATAAACCTTTTAAAAAAAGAACTTTAAAGAGTATACGAAGCTTATTAAGCACTTAAAAACGAAGTAAACACTTTAAAAAAAGAATTAACTAAATTTAAAATTAAAAAGAATAATAATAATAATAATAATAATAATAATCCTAATTTATATCCGATATAATAAAACCTTATAATCTCGTTACTATTTAATAAAGGATTTAAATTTTTTTTGCTATTTAAATATAATAGCATTACGGATATAAAAGCTTAATTTAGCGCAGCTAAACTTTATTTAACTTTTTTTTAAATTAGTTTTAATAAAGATAAATATAAGGTTTTAGCAATATATTAATATTTTAAAAAAAACGTTATTAAATAACTTTAACTTATTATAAACAATTATTTAAATAAAATTTAAAAAAATAGAAAAATCTAAATATATCTTTAATAAATACTTTAATTTTAAAAATAAAATATAATTAATATTTAAAAACCTACTTAAAAAAATATTTATAAAGTTATTTAAAATTTTAAATAAATTAAAAAAGCTTTAAAATATATTACTAAATTTAAATAATTAATAATTATAACTTAACTTCTTAAAAATGCTTAATTTAACTATTTTTATAAAGGATTAACTATATAAATTAAAAATAAAATCTTAAAAGAAAAAAGGCTTAAATATATTAACAAATATATTAAATGTATTATTATTTATAATAAAAAATCGTATAAAAGGTTTTAAAAGAAAAAGATTAAGAAATTTACTTTTATTTATATTAAAAAAAGTTTAAAAAGATAAACCTTAATATTATTAAAATAAAAAAACCTAAAAGAAAATATGATTAAAATTAAATATTATAATTATAATAAAATAAAATATATATTTAAAAACTGTAAAGTACTTTAAAAATAATTTAAAATATTAAAAAAACAATTTAAGCCTTAAATAATAAAAGTAATATCTTTAAAAGTATTTAATATTTAAATCTTTTAAATAGCTTAAAATATTAAGAATTACGTTATTATTAATAACTATTATTAACAAAAGAACTTTTATAAATATAATTACTAAAATTGCCCACATTATTTTAATAATAATAAAAAAAGGTTAAAAAATTAATTTATATTTTAATAATATCTATTATTTATAAAAACCGAAAAAGGATAAGATATTAACAAAGATTATTTATAAAAAATATTAAATTATATTAAAAAATAATATAATTATAAATTAAAAATTTAAATATTAAAAAAAACCATTAAAAATGTTTTAAAAAAAAAGCTTTAAATAATAACTTATTAAAATAATTATAATAAAGATAAATTTAATAAAATTATAAAACTTATAAATAAATAAAAGATTATTATAAAATAATAAGAAAATAAATAACCCTTTTATAAATTAAATAAAATGGAATAATAAATAATAACCCGTTAAATATATAATAATAACATAATAAATACTAACTTTAAATAATTAATTAGAAATAATTACGCTTATATTTAAAAATAAATTACTAAATAAGAAAAAAAGTAAAATAAAGAATTTTATATATTCCCGATAAATTAAATAACCTTAATCCCTTTTATTATAAGCTTTATTTAATTATAAAAATTAAAAATATAACATTTCCTAGTTATTAAAGGATTATAAGAATAAAAAGTTATATATATAAAAAAAGAATTTATTACATAAATTATTAATAAATACTTTAAAATATAAAAAAAAAGTATTAATTATTAAAATTAACTTAAAAATAATAAGAATTAATATTTTAAAAATAGTATATTTTTTATAAAAAGTTATTAAAATTGAATAATTTTTAAATATAAATAAATAAATTCTTATCCTTAATATTAAAAAATTTAACCTAAAATTAAAGGTATATATATATAATTTATAATAAAATCTAAAATATAAAAAATATTATAAGATATTTTAAATTTTATGCCCTTATAATTATTATTAAATATATAACTTAGCTAAAGAAAACACAAAATTTTAGCCTAAATTAATAAAAGGACATTTATTTATATATAAATATAAAGATA